ATATGTTCGCTCCTAAAAAGTGTCTCCTAACGAAAGAACCATCGGGGCAACATTCTATCCTGCTGTTCTATTTCTTCAAACCTTCCATATACGCGACGAACAATTGCGCAATGAACTTTCATTGGAACGATTTTCAAGGAACGATCGTCGACCGGATTTCGGTTTAATTATATGAAACAGAGGTCTGCCAACCAAACCGGAGACCTGTTTGCTCGGTACCCGGGGCGGGTCAATTAAAATTGTGCGAGAAAAATGGCGTCGTTAGCGAACGAACCGACGTGACTGGCACGAAATTGCGTAATTATCGATCGTGGAATTGAGACGCGAGAGAACTTGCTCGAAGAAAATGACCGCGCTTTCGTCAAACTTGAGCTGAGAATCAAGCTATTCTATCTCTTAGCGGCTAATTATCCTTAAAAATGATTTAAAAAGGTGGATAACTTTGATCGAAACTTTATAATGGTAATACGATAAATTTGAATAATTTTTCTGCAATTCTCAGGCATTTAATGGAATTTTAATCGGGATATGACAACCGAACCAAACGCTTCGTTTTGAACATGTAAAAGGGCGATGAACGAAAAAGAAAGATGAAATTTGATCACTCGCTTAACCTCAATTAACTTGATTTGAGTTCGAGTTTTTCTCTTTGTCAAATGTAGAAAACGAGAGTGAGTGAAAAAAGAAGGAGAACTGAAAATCGAAACGAGTATATGAATAAAAGTTACGTACGTATAGAAGAAAAATCTCTTAATGAGGAAAAAAGTTATCGAACATTTATATTGTAAATCGTGTACATTGTGTGCACACCTTTTATTAAAATTTTAAATTAATTTGAAACGAGAAAAAACAATTGGGAAAATAAAGCAACTAACAGTAAAATCAGTATACAAAATATAATTAATTGGTACATTCAATACAATCAAAGGTTTAATTCAATCACAAGACAGCTGTAGAAATAATAACACTATGATCACAAATGAGCAGCAATGGATGCTGATTAAAAACTAATTAAAATTATGATGTCGGCAGCTAAAGGTTTTTCGATAATCACAAATAAACAGCCATTTTAGAAATACGCAGCTGATTTTTTTTTTTCGAGTTTTTCATTGATCAAATGATTTTCATTTATCGTTCATGAGAAAATTCCGATGTATTTACCTAGATTTATTTAATTTCTCCATCGAAATTACGGCTTGTCAAATTTCTAGGATTGTTTAAAATCTAACGATATTAACTGAGAATCAATATAAATAATAATAATTACAGTGATATATTAGAAATTAGCTTCTTCTTCTCTTGAAACATTCCTTTTTTCTACGAATAATTTATTAAGAAAAATAAAAAATTTTTCCTCGCTTTTGACAAATCCATTCGAGGATATTAAAATACTGGTCGTGATAACTTTTGCTTTCTATTGCTCGTGAATATTCACGATGTTCCGCGATCCGGTCTATCGAAAACTGAAACTGTTAGAAAGCCGGAATCATCCATCCTGTACTTTCTTCAATCTTGACATCAAATGCATTCAATCGAATATGCCTGATTTTTCTATCTCTGTTTTCTCGATTGGCCATTATGTGTCTATTTCTACTATAAAAATCCACAAGTTAACAGGATCAAGACTGGCCAAAATACGTATTAGATATTTTGTTGTAAAGAGCGAGTCTTATATCTTAAATTCCACAAAAATAGTTCTATCATTTTGATGGATTAAATTCACTGGATAGGATGTTCAATTTGAGATCTGATGTTTATGAAAAATTTAAAAGATATAGATCACTCAAAATGATAGAATACATTATGGGATAATTAGTACATTATTATTCAAGATATTATTATATATTGCTAGAAATGAGATATATTAATAGTATTGAGTTGTTTAGAAAGTTCCTAGCATTTCTGATGATGATTGATACATAAAATTCCATTTTATATTTGACGAAATGAAAAAAAAAAAAAATAATTCGTAATAAAAAAAGAAATCACAAATTTGCAACTATAATATTGAATGGAAACAAAATTCTCCCTAATTGAATTAAATTTCATTAATTAACTTCTTTTGTTCCTTCATTTTCTTCTACTAGTTATTATAAATATCAATTCTACAATACTATAAAAATGTATTAGAGTATATAATATCAAAATACTTTATATAATTTCATTTAATTATAATTAATTATTTCTAGTATGAAAAATTAAATAAAAGGTTAAAATCAGAGTTCAATATTACTACTTATAGGTTATAATTTCCCAGTCACGTCGGTTCGGTGGTTGGAAACTAATTTGGGAAACGACTGTGATATCTTTAGGGAATTGATCCTAAAAAAACCCATGATAAAATTCATATTTTTTTTTTTTGTATTCAAATATATTAATACGCAATATTAATATCTTGGCCGTGCAAATGAAAAAAAAAATTCAAAATTTCGACATTTACGTTTTATTTGTGATGTATCGAACATTTTCTCCATCAACGATGATCGAGCCTTGGACACACAGGGCTTTTATTAGACACGTACACTGGGAAAATAGGATCAAAGGGTGTAGGGAATTGAGTTAAGTTTTAAGAAATAAATTAGAGAGCCTATCTCACTTGATACTGGAACATGAATTATCTCGTATTGACTTTCGGCAACGCAGTGGAGAGTTCTAACAGGGAATGGAAATTGGAAAACGCTTTCTCTTTTATTGTTCGATTCTGTCTCGCTCGAAGTAGTTAGCTTAAAAAAATATTGACTTTAGATTGGGTAGACATTAAGGATAGGGATTAAGTAGAAAATAGGGATTGGCTGGCTGTCGTCACGATAATCACAGTGTCTCCTGTTCCAATCGTACAACTATGCAGAAAGGAATAATATAATAGTATCGATTTTTTTTCTTACATAACTTGATAACCCTAATGTTATAATATTGTCTGTGAGAACAGTTGCATCTACTTTCGTCTCTCGATACTTATCTGGGCACGTACGTATCTCGAAAATTTGAACAATCGAAAAAGAAAAGAGATATTTCAATATTCGTTCTCAAATATCTTTCTCGGAAAATATTAATTTATAAATTGAAAGTAACGATGACGAACATTCTCGCAGATATCTACCACACCATTTTTATTCGGAAAAAAAAAAAAAAAAATGTCTCTATACTTTCGATAGACTTACTTACTTCATCGAAAATTTTACACAGGGTTTAGGATCAAAGGGAGTTTTTTTTTTTTTTTATCAAAATCCTTTCTGCGAAGAACGCGACACTATGATCGTGAAAATTAGGCGAAAGCACACATTCCAATTACACTCGAACGCCTTTTGAACTAAATCCTGGCCACGCATTGGCCGGAATTAAAACGAAGAAAGGGAAATAGAATGAAGAAAGAAATTTTAAATTTAACTCAGTCGCTATGAAACGCCTATGTACACTCCTGATAATATATACGATTACGATCTAATCTCTATCTTTAAAAAGGAAAACGGAAGAAAAGGAAAATTACTCTCTCTCACACTCTCTCTCTCTCTCTCTCTCTCTCTCTATTTCTATCTTTGAACAATACCGCCTAGAGCCTTTAGTAACGCATATCACAGTTACAAAAATTCAACGTTTCTCGCTACTTGGCAATCTTTCTCCCCCCCGCCCGTCCCCCCTCCCCCTCATGTGTCTGCAGTATCAAATCGTTTTTATACACATTTACACGTACATCTATCGGACCCCAATGCTTTCGTCAGCCACGATTGCATCGCTTTTACTCGACAGCCATGTGTAGCCTTCTTAGCCGTGGGACATTTAAGGCTAGAGCTATGCCAGATCTGAGACTAGTTTTTTTTTTCTTTTTCTTTTTCTTTTTCTTGCTTCTACAGGCAGTTGAGCTGGCTTTTGAGTGCCGGCGATATCATTGGAATTGACAGAACGTTGCACATGCACGAAATCGTGCCTCTTGGAAATTCTCTAAGTGCTTCTCTTTTTAACCAGTTGGAACTCTTTACATCGACAATTGGCCCCTGTTAGGAAATAATTGCTTCTTTTTCTTTTATCGTTTCTATCTAATTGAAATTACTAGGAAAAATATGAATTGGCTTTGAATTTTTCTCAATTCGAATTTTTATGACGGATCTTCTCGATTCTTGCTTACGTTAATGTATTTTATAGATAGAAGACTACGATTGGATGGCCCATAGTATGGTTAGTGCGGTTAAACCAATCCATCGATGACACATATTATATCGATTTCCATTCCTTTCTACTCTTCCCAAAGAATTTAATCATAAAAAAAAAAAAGATAGACGTTTACAACCACTTTCACGGGCTTACTGTCATAAATATGCATGAAAAAGTAACTCTGGAAGAGTTCTCGGTTTTGCGCGGAATTCAAATAGTTTAAACGGAACACGTACGGTTTTTCGACGAGTCGTTTCACTTCCGCTCACGTAGATCTAATTACAGATAACCGATTGTCGACAGCAAGAGTTTCGAAGATTTTTAATTGACATGGTCGAATATATCAATCGTTCGATTTTTATGGTCGCTTCATTCATATATGGCGAATATATGAAATAGAAAAAGATTAATTCCTTTTTGTTATATTACAACGATAGAAAGATTTTCTTTTTTTATAAATAAATATAATAAATAAATATGAATAAAAATCTTTTTATCAAACAATGATGATAATTTAAAATTAATAAATAATTTTAAGTAAAATAAAAATTTAAAATTTTTGGGAAAAAATTACTGTATCTGTATTGAAAAAAAAAAAAAAATGAAAGAATTTTTTGCATGATATAAGAATACACCATATATGATGAATATACACCAATATAAATCAAATATTCACTGAATCTTTAAACGAGCAATTTTTCTTAAAAAGGGCTGAATATTTATCAAGATGAAAAACTTAATAAAAGAATTGATTTTTTTCTTTTTCAAGGATGATTTCTCGTTTAAAGAGTTAGTCTTACATTTTCATATTAGTACAATTTAATTGATATGAATCCTTTTTTTTTTTTTCTTAATAAGAAGCACGTATTCGATATTTGTAATATATATAACAATGAATTATTATCTCAAAAATCTCTTTCCACCCCATCCTTTCATCCATTTGTATAAATCTTACCGCGACAATCTCACAATTATAGGCTGGCCCAAGAGGAATATTTATTTTCTACAAATTTGAGACTCGCTACGTTAGCTCGCGAAATATCTTTACTTTTACGTACTTTTTCCTCGTCAATTTCTGGAATGCAATCTCCTCTGTTATTATAAAATTACGAAAGAAATTAAAAAAAAAAAAAAAAAAAAAGAAAAAAAAGGATAAATACTCCTTTCTTCTTTTTTGGAACTTTGTAACCTTTCATGAGGGCCTAAAAAAGTGTTTAAATATACGTAAGATATCTTTTGAAGAGACACTTATTTAATTATGCTCGCAGCTCGTAGCCTCGTTTACGCGTTGTATGGCGATCGTTCATAAATATACATATATCTAATACATACATCACTACGGTTATTTTACAATATCTTCAGCAACAGCGCGCTGCTTTTCACATCTGCCTTCATTTGACCTGGTCTAACAAAAGGGAAGCTGCTAAATCTACATTGTATTCAGTCTGCTTCAAAGCACCCTCGCACTGTTGTCGGTCTGCCAAGCCCAGCCTGAAATTACAACAGCCAATTGCATCATTGTTTAATCATTTATGCCTTCTTGCATAATGAAACTAGCAATATTTTTCGAAATATTTTTTTTTTTTTTTTTTTTTTCATTTAACCCGGCTTTAATACAATACAATACAATGAAAATATTTTCTAGCTTCGAGTTTCTATATTAGTCGTGAAATCTGTTATGAAATCTTTCGAATAAGATTTACTAATGTTTATGTTTTGTATTGTCTATAAAAATTCTGCTCGAAGCAATTTCTCGAATTCTACGATCAGAACAGAGAAATCGAAAGTATCATAAGTATATATACATACGCGAAGAATTTTTGCGGCAAGTCGATAATTAGTTAAAAAGTGAAAGGAATATTAAACAGTACTTTCGCGTCGACAAACAAAAATTGACAAATAAAAATTCGAGCCTTTCTTTCCCAAACGATTTGTCTCGATGATCATTTTGAATGTTCATTAATTTCTTTTCTTCGAAATTATTTACTACTATATAATTTTATAGACTTTGACTTATAATATATTCAATCAAAATACTTCAATTAATGATATAAAAATATAATTTGCCCGCGTTTCAAAATATTTAGTCTACATTTTACTTTCATCTTAAGCTATATAAATAGTTGGCCACAAATTGCGTATAATTCAATGTTTAGCTTCGGACGAATATAGCTAACCTAGGTCTACGAGAATAATAAAAAATTGAAAAAATAAAAAAATTTGTAATTCCAAAGACAAAAGAATTCCGTTATCATTGTCAACTCATAAAAACTTATAAAAAATTTCACTATCATTTCGATTGTGCAAGAGGATCCTGATGAAAAAACCTTACCTGACCAAGGACTCGATCTTGGCCTGCCTGTCTTTCAAGATCTGCTTTGCAGCTTGATGAGTGTCCCAGCCAGTAGCCTGCAGTGCAATGAGTATTTCCTGATGCGATGCGTCACTCGTCTCTCTCTGCACCTTCATCACTTTGTTCGCTCGAAATTCGTCGTTAAGGGACATGACCAGTTGTTGAGAGGCTGTAGTTAATGGAGGGCTAACTCCAGAGGGATACGCAGATGTGGAGGGGGCTAATTGAGTATTAACAACCGTCTCGGTCATCTGAGGAGGCAGACCTCTCGTCGAGGATTGTTGCAGCGTCATGGCGCCCTCTTGAGGCGGATTTGTGTGCGTGATTTGCAGCAAATTGGGATTGTTCACCAGATTGCTGGCTAAATTGGACTTCATCGCAGCTTGGCCCTGTCCTAACTCATTCGAAACCGATTTCATAGGGCTCCATGTAGTTGGAGGAGGAGGAGGATTGTACATTGGCGGCTGCTTTAGGTGAGGACTAAAATCGCAGGGATGACCCTGGCTCGATATATTTCTCGCCGGTTGTCCAGATCGAATCTGAAGATTAGCTGTAGCCCCGTCCAAAAAGTGGGTATGACTTAGATTGCTGGCCGAATCAGAGACAGTCGAGGTACCGGCCGCGTAGTAATTCCTTAAAATGTTTTGCTGCACTGTCTTGTTGTACAACGTGTTGAACTCGTTTTGAGATAATTGATCAAGGTTCGGTACTGTTTGTTTCAATTCCGCGTACACTTGCTCCGAGAACATCACGTTAGGAGGTTTTGAGACGATGTTGCTGGAGTACGTTTGCTGAAGATCGTTTTGAATCTGTGTTATTCCATGAACGTTACCAGTAGTAGGCAAGGAAAGGTTTTGGGCGTTCATAGTCTGGTTGGAAATCGACAGCGAGTTCTGTGCATGATTCAAGTTCTGTTTGAACACGTTACTGGGTGCGATTTGTAAAAGATTCAAGTTCGTTTGCGTACCGTGTTGCGATGCCTGAGTCTGCTGCCAGATTTGACCTACCATCTGCTCGGTGGTCGTTTCTAAGACACGTTCAGTGCGAGCAGGTTGTTGAATATTTGTACTCTTGGACGGCCAGGAGTTTTGAACCTTACTGGGCAGATTGCTGCTTCTGTAATCCAACTGAGGAGACTTGCGTTTGATGGTTTGAGGTGGAGGCTTTAACGCTGGGATCGTGTTATCTTGTAATTTGTTAATGGACGAGTAGGAATCGGAATCCGGATTTTGTTGATCTCTCGCAATCATGTTTTTACTCGCTTCTTTCTCGCCCAAATGCTTCTCCAGCTCTGCTAGAAAAGCAGGATCTAATTTTTTAGGCGAGATATTTTGAGAGTTTATAGTTAGCTCGCTCAGACTTTGGGCCAAATCATGATTCGATTTTGGCTTCGGTGGACTCTCATTGGGGGCGACAGGTGGGGGAGGAGGCGCGTCAGAAGTTTGCAAATTTCGACTAGAGACATTTACGTACGTCTGTGTGTCATTTTGCAGATCCTCTGGCCAATTAGCTATAGGTGGACTAGGTTTATCAATCTCACTGTAATGGTTTTGACTGTACGTATTACTTTCCTCTGTGTCCACATTCACGTTCAGATTAATACTATCGTTTCGATTCTCTTTGCTCAAGTTTATAGAATAATGATTCACGTCTGATCCGGATTCTGAAGTGAAATAATTTGTACTGTTCTGGCTACCACCAGCATCTTGGTTTTGTACATTTCCATAACTTTGCGTCTTGAAATATCGACTGCTCACATCTGAGGGAACATGACTGTAATATCTCGAATGCGGTAATTTCAAAAATACTGAAGATGTGTCGAACGGGTCTGAGTATGCTGGATCGATGTTCCCAGGGAAATTAGCGTAAGTTCGAGGATCTTCGTCCTGCCAATTTGTCTGGGCCTGTTGTTCTATGTCATCGATAGGTTCGTCGAGAATATTAACCACTCGTCGACAGGCAGTATCCGATTGTACTTCGTTTGTGTTCACAATTTCTTCTGGTGACAGGTCAATTAAACTGCCTTCTTGATTGCCGCTTGGAACAGAGGCGTTTGTCGTTTTAACAGGACTAGCACCGATGTCATTTTGAAATTTCGTGTAATTGAATTGCTTCCGTGATCGTGGTGTACCGCAATATTTATCCTTTAAAAGATTATCTGGAGGTACAGTAACCCCAACAATATCAGGTGGTTCCATGGGATTTCGAAGATAAACATCGTCTATGAAAGTAGGACTGCCCCAACTTTTTCCAAAAGGTGCACCATGCCCCGTATGAATAAAAGAATTCTCCAATGGTTTACTAATGTCTTCTGGCTGTTTACGTCTCATGGGGTCGACATAACAGCGAGGGAAAAGTCCGATTTGAAAGGTTCGTTGGTTTTGACCTTTCCACCAATAATTCTCTGGTTGACCATCTAAAATAATTATTTGATCACCTTGTTTTATGGTCATTTTACCAGGATCAGATACTGCGAAAGAACTGATCGCTTTCATTACAGTTGGGACCATCGACGTAAGGGATACTCGTAGAGAAGCGAAAGTTGGTCTTTCCGAAGGATCACAAGCCCAACACCTTAACATTAGTTGATACATCTCTGGTGGTGTTGCTTCTGGCTCGTGTAATCTTTCACCTTCTTTGTCGATTTTTCGAAGAATCTCTGATCCTTTTAAACCGACCCATGGCTCCTCCCCGAACGTAAGCATTTCCCATAATGTAACACCAAACATCCACACATCAGATGCATGAGTGAATTTTCGTCTTTTCAAAGATTCCGGAGCACACCAAGGAAATGGCACCTTTTTGTGTTCTGACATCACATAACAATCTTCTTGTTGGGGTAATGCCCGCATTAGGCCAAAATCACCGATTTTCACTTTGTCTATTGAACTCAGAAGAACGTTTCTACAAGCTAGATCACGATGTAGGAAACGCTTTGCTTCCAAATAAGCCATACCAGTGGCTACTTGCAAAGCATAATCGCACAATGTTAATACTGAAATTTGACCACACTGTTTTCGCAAATAATCTAACAGAGCTCCAAGAGAGGCAAGTTCTGTCACCATCATCATTGGTTGTGATAATACTACACCATATAATCTATAAAAAAAAAAAAGATATATATATATTAATTTATTTAATTAAAATTGACTACTTGACTTTTATCTATTACTCTTTAATATATGTACCTAATGAGATTTTGATGATCCAATGTATGCATTACTTGAACTTCAGACACAAAATTCTCTATAACACTTGGTTGAGCATCTGCTTTCAAAACTTTCACAGCAACTGGTAATTTTCTACCAGAAGGAGAAGTCCATTCTCCACGCCTCACTATACCAAAACTACCATCACCCAATTGATCGGATAATGTTACATCTTTGTCTTGAATGAGACAGGTTAGCACCGAGGAACTTTCAACTGGTTGTGAAGATTTTTTATTGCTTTTCGTACTACTTCCAGGCTTGATCTTGGTTATCAAGTTTTTCTTCCATTGGGTGGTTCTCTTTTTCTTAACTGCTTCTAATAATCTTCTAATTCCTGGCTTTCCTAAACCTATCTTTTCAAGATCTTCCGGTTGTACATAATCAAAATGATGTAATCGAGTGATTTGTAAATCATCCCGTATTCTAGTGAAAAACTGTGAAAGTTGAACATCGTGCAGCAGTTCCTGCAACCATTCTGTACCCTCATCATCTGCCATGTTCAGTTATTCTAATATCCTGAAAGAAAAAAATGAATTATTTAAATTATATTGATGAAATAATAAAATGAAAATTTATTAATATATATAGAAAGTAAATAAAATTAAAATAAAAGTATATAATTACCACACAATATGAAAAGGTAGAAAAAAGGAAAAGTATGAAATAATAATTTATTTATTTAAATATTACAAAAGTATGAGGATATATATATAATGGCAATAAAACAACAATAAAATCAATAATGCTAAATTCATTTATTTTTATTCATATACAGTATTAATAGAGATCATGCAGTATATAAAAACAATTAGTATCAGAGAATTATGTAGGTGTATAGAATGATATAAATACAGTATTTATCTTTTATTCTTATCTCCCCTTAAACAGGAAATGAGATAATGCTTTGCTGTAAGAAGAAGAGTTGTCGGCACATGTCATGTTATATATTGTAAGCACAAAAAAAATCATTTATAATGTTGGGCTTTGATGCAAAATAAGACGCAAAAGCAAATTTCAGTCATGCACATTTCTCTATCTGTCTTGATTATTTTTAAAAATATTTTTAATTTAATCGAGAATCAGACAAAACATGTTACTTAAAATAAAAATCAGAGCTTTCTTTCACAATAATTTACCAAATAATAATATTAGTAAATTATCAGATGACAATTTGTAAATCAAAGACTTTGATTATATAAATCACTTTTATAATTTAAAATTTTTTTCTTATGCAAAACCTTTAAAATTATTAATTTCATTAATATTAGTTTAATATTACAAAAAGAAACTAAGAGGAAAAACAAATAAAAATAAAAAAATAAATAATAAATCCGTTTATAAAAGAAATAAGCTATAACTATATAGTTGAACAAAAAAAAAATTACGCGTGACATTGATTATCCTGATATATATTTTCCCTTCACCAAATATTGTACTTTCAACACAAAAAAAGAAAAAAGAAAAAGGAACAGATCATATCCTCAGGGGATAAAAGCATTGATTACCTTTCGATGGAAGAAAACTGTCGAGAGCAGTTACGTTTCCATTCCATCAGCGCGCATGTTCGTCGCAACACAAATCTGTTTACAGTCACTCGGTGCATGTACAATACGGGGAAATCCTATATGAAATTAGACGGCGGCGAAATTTGAGCGGAATCATCGCCACTTGAGTAGTCTCGGCATTTTTCTTTCTCTTTGTCTCTTTCTATACTTCTATCTCTCTCTCTCTCTCTCTCTCTCTCTGTTCTTTCTCCCTCTCCCTTTTTTTCTCTTTTTGTTGTTGCACTGCGAATAAACGCACAAGATGCACACAGTTTGGAGGAAGGCGGTCAGAAAGCGACGACTAATCCACGACAACGTACACTTCGTCGGAATTCTAATTGCACGACGTGCAAGAGACTTTCACCGTATGAATTTCTCACGCAACGCATTGTTATGCATCCGATTGTTCGCAGGACGATTTAACCTAAAATGCGCGCGCGATTTTTTCAATTTCGAACCGCGCTAGTTCTCAAATAGAGGCGCTGAGATGCGTGTTGATGCACATTACGAGTCGTCTCCGTTGCATTTTCGTTTTTAACTTTTATAAAATTTAAATACACGTACAAACGACAAGAAACCTAACCACTCGGCAAAACACAGTACCGCCTACTGCCACGGACCATGCACGGATGCAACTGGATACTTGTCAACGAGATGGCGCCATTCTACACTACTACATTTTACATGCAAAAATCGATCAATTGCAAATCGAACGATTAATATTTTATTTAAAACAAAACTTTTAAAATATATTTTATAAAAATAATAAAATGACAAAGATATATTTAAAAATGATTATAAAAATTTTTATGATTATATTTTGTATTATTGCAAGAAATAGGAAAAATTACTAGATAGGGCCGAATGTTTCCCTAGGGAAGACAAAGGGAGCGGGAATGTTTAAATCCTTATTTTTGTTTTGTAAAGTTATTTGATCATTTAGAAAAAAGATAAAAAATATTTATATTTTACAGTAAAAAAAATTTTTGGATAATAATTTCTTTGTAAAAATAAATAAAATATAAAAGTTTTGAAAGAAAAAGATACAAATGAAATTTTAATCCCTTTGAGAAATTAATTTTATAATATAGATATAAAATTATTAAGATATTTTATGAAATAAAAGTACAAAAATGTAATTTTAATAATTATTATGAATACATAATAGAAAGATAATTAACATAATCAACAATTTTAATCAAAATACTTATAGCAAATGTTTCGTAATATATATATATTGTGCATAATATCATGATATGTGTAAATGATTAAATCAATCAATATATATCTTTATTTTTACTTACTTTATTCTTACCTTGATTAATATTGATAATTTGAGAACAACATTTTGCTATTGCTTTAATATCAAGAACGACGCTAACTGACATTAAATATTTTATCACACTATAATATTAACCTATTTTATTTTTTTCAAGAATTAGTTAAAAAAGTATATGTCAATGAAGATAAAATTATCTGTTTACTTATCTATTTAAAAAGTAGCGAAATAAGCATAAACAAAATATAAAATATGTACTATCAATAGCGATGTAGCACAAATACACAAATAAATATATTAAGATTTAAAATAAATTTCGACTTTTCAAATAAAAATATAAAAAATCAAAATTTATATATAATGCAATACAAAATCTTTATCAATCAATATATGCAATAAGAATAGAAAAGAAAAGATTCTTACATTTCGAATAGGAATTATTCGAATTAAATCGAATAAAATTATTTGAATAAAAATATATGTTAATAAAGTGCATTTTGATACAACGAATGCACACAAAAATGTATTCAGAGGATGATTGATCACACCTTATCCTAAAATATGGCAACGATACTAATTACCAAGTTGATAATTATTATGTTATAATTATTACATTATGTTATTGTGTCACCCACATCGGTCGTGTGCCGTGCAGAAATAACTCTCTCGCATTTTAACAACGTTTCATGCATTATTATGAATTCGTGGCGCGTCTCGAGGTTGCGTCACTCCTGTTCAATAATTCAAAAACAGGTTGCAAATCCGTTCCACCATTTAAGAAACGTCTCGACAATGTTGCTTTTTCGTTGCATGCAAGATGAAATCTTGCATACATTTTTCTTCGTCGACCTAACCTTATTCTGACCACTGTAATATGGAAACTTTTATTACGACGATTATTATATTATTTAGATTAATTTTACTTTTATCAACAACGAATGAAATTTAATAATAATCTTAATAAGAAAAAATTATCGATCGATGATATTTAAAATCTATAGATTGATTCGATATTGTATCAAAGATTATTTCAATATCGAATTGATAAGATTAGCATATGTAAAAAAAATAGATTTGAATTTCTTTCTTTTTCTTTTTTTTTTTACTTATTTATTTATTTATTTATTTACGTAAGGATAGAATAATAATAATTTAAAAAATTTAAAAAATTCTTGAGTAAATATTTTTTTTTCTTCGAAAAAAATGAATTCTTTAAATAAAATCGAGCACAAAGTTATTAGGGTTAATAGTTGGAAAATTATTGGGCATGTGACTTCTCAAGATTACGATAATGACGTGAATTCACAATGACAGCGCATGCTTGATATCGACTTGTAGCAGCAACAGTTTCGTAAAACGCAGTCACAGCCGCAGTAGCGACAGCAATAGAGAATCACGATAAACAGAGAGGGAAACAGAAAACACTGGTAAAAATCTCACGAAGATTCTTTAAACGATTTTTCGATTTTCCCCTCACAATTAAATATTATACAAATTACAATTTTCAATTTTTCCATTTTTTAATGTCTCAAATTAAACAATCATTTATTATTAATTCGTTCATTTCTTCTTTATATTCTTAATCATGAATCTTTATAAATACTATAATTGCATTCTTCTATTCTTACATTCTTATTATCTCAATTATTCTTTTAAATTAAACTAATAAATTATTTTAAATCCACTTTTTTCTATTTGCAATTTTAAATTTCCCAATTCAAAATGTTTTTTTAAGAGAATTTAAGAAAAATTAAATTTTCAAAACAGATTATCGATTTAATTCAAAAAAATTGTTGCAAAGCAAATTAACACTTTTCACTTATGGCGTAGATTTAAAATAATGCCACGTTATTCAGACCAAACGTCGTAAAGTTCCACGCCCTCGTTAGCACACACATTCTAAACGATTTAATTAAGACCGCTCGAGGAATGGAGGGATTCGTGAAAAAGGAGCAAAATTCCACTCATTTTTAATTATCCTGAAAATATTCCTGGGCTTGTAACATTACGTATTAGAAACGTTCAAAAAAACATGGGATACGTCCGTGGAAAAAAAAAGGAAAAAGAATAATAAAAAGAAGCGCCATCGGCGTTCGCACGATGGGCGCAGTCGCGCCGAAATTCTATCGCCAGTCCAGCATTGACCGTCGTCCGTGTTCGCATTTTTTCTGGTTTTCCGCTCGAGAAAACAGCCTTGTAACGATAAATACATCTACAAGAAACGAACAAACGACGTAGAAAAATTTTAAATAAGTCGATAAAAGAGAAATATCTGATATACTCGGAATCTTTTTTTTCTTCTCTCTCTCTCTCTCTCTCTCTCTCCGTTTTCTCCTACGTTCGTCCAAACGGAAATTTTATTTTATCAATTTCAATTCATCGATTTTAAAATAAACAGATAGGAATTAATAAAACTCGTAAGATTGTATTTTTTTCTTCATAGAAGGAAGTCAATTTGATTTGTTTCTTTCTTTCTTTTTTTTTTTGAAAAGTAATAATTTTGTATTATTTCGATGATGGATATTTGAATGGTGGTAAACTAAAATTGTTTACCTTCGTGTTTCGTGGTTATGTTAAAGTGATAGTGGTCCGTTTGGACAACGCATTGAATTAGAGACGCCGCTTGTTGCACTCTGCACGCCACCCTTCCGTTCTGCGGCATGAATTCCGTGATGGAGGAATTTTGGAACGCTTCCAGGAGGTAGCTATTTGATTGTTTAGAAGTAGAATTGTCGTCGTCTTCGATTTACCTCTAATTATTATTTTAATTTATCAATCTTTTTCTATCGTATCATTTTTAAATTTTGTGGATTCAGAATTTTGACGAATTACGATAGAAAAATTTCGAAAACTTTTTATTTTATATCAAGATTTAAGCAACACAATATTATAACAAGAGACTGTCCTCTACGACCGTGCAATTTACTCGAAATAAAGTTACAGTGGATCAGAATACAATTATAATTTCGTCGACTTTAATTATTAAAAAAAAATATCGATTTTGATTGAAAATGATTTCTCCATCGGCTCGTTTACTCACTTGACTGCTTACCTCTATCGTCCAACTCCCACTTTCGGAAAGTGCACCGCAAATATTCATCAATAAACGCGGCAAACTTGATCAACCGCTTGTTGCATGCATCTCGAGTGGGCTTAAATGCAGTTTGATGCTCCATGCTATAGCTCTTCCTTTTTTAAATAGCACAACATTAAGGATATTATAAACAATTTTTAATAATCTGACAATATTTGTACTATTCTGATACGACAAAGAAACGCAATTTATTCTTAAATTGTACTTTTACGAAGAAGGAATCTTATTTATATTCGCTGAATACAACACTTTTTATTATTATTATTTTTAATAATAGAATTGATTTCACAATTTTTATCTTCCAAATTTTTTTTTTTTCCAATATCATTCTTATGGAAATCGATACTTTAAAACGAGTGAATAAAAAAAAAAGCGATATTACATAATATAATACGTTTAATTTCCGATATTCCAAAATTTTTATTCCTATCCAGACTTTATCTTCGCGATATTTTTTTCAATATCCCTGCGAGAAATGGTCTCGAAGGGGAATAAATAAATAAAAAAAAAAAAAAAAAACAAAAAAAGAAATCAAACGAAAGATTCGAGAGATTTGATAATAAGCTGTTAAAACCCGAGCTATTAAAATAACCATACACCGTATCACATGAATTGATATAAACTAGATTTATTAATAGAAAAACGGAGACATCGATCGATGCTAAGCCCGTACGTGCGGTTCATCTTCGTTTTACAACCAGCTTCAAATCAATCGCATTAAATCAATTAAACTGGCCAATTGAATTAAAAACAATCAAAATTTGTGTATAATCACTGCTGTCGTAAAAATCGTCGCACGTAAGTATCGATAAAAATTAAAAAAAAAAAAGAAAAGAAAAATATTAGATATTAAAAATTTGCCAATTGACCAAGACTCGAACACTCGTTCGTGCAGATTTAACTGTATATTTTCAGTGTTCGGTGTCTGGAGAAAGAAATCTACAAGGAATAAAAAAGAAAGAAGAATTCGAAAAGGCGAAAATGGCTCGGACAATGGGGCGGGAAGGGGGATGGAACGTCGAGGAGGGTGAATTTGTGCAGTGAGCGAACGACCATGTCGATGTACGCACCCCTCTGATCAACGAACTGTGTCACCCCCGGGTAAAACGGTTGAAGATGCTCGAGGAACATTAACACGTCACGTCCCGTACGTGCACGCGTTACATTTTGAATTATCGAATGGAGAAGTCGCCAGAATTGGTGGAATAATAATAAATTGCAAATTTCAGATTTTCATCACATTTTCTATCAGCTGCATATTGGAAACTCACTTTTTCCTAAC